TCAGCCTCCTGATCCTGTGTCAACTAAGAAAAATTATTTCATATTCTAAAATCAGAGCAACCTTCTGCTGTGTAGATCACACATAAAGCTGGATTCTGGGGTACAGGAGGGACTTTGTTCTCCAGCTTAGAAGGAGAAAGATTTTGTTCTGCCTAGCAAAGCTTCCGGTTATCTGAAAAAGGCTCAGGGTCCCTCAGGAGAAAGATACACTGCTCCAAATTTATCTCAACAGCGGACACTTACAGTTAATGTCACTACCAGCTCTGAAAACTACACTCCATATACATCTCAAACATCTAAAGAAATCTGAGAAGTCCCTCTTCCTGTTGAATACCACACTTAAAACCCTAAACACTTGCTAGATATTGCTGCTTACAGTGGGGTATCTAAATAGAAATATATCAAAGAATTCATAAGAGAGTGATCAAGAGGCCTCACAAGCATGAAAACAACTGGTGAATTTAAGGAGTTCAGCAGAGGGAAGAGGGAAGTGAATTAAGCCACATAGTACCAAAACAAAAAAAAAAAAAGCAAAGGAAATGGAAGCTAACAGAAGGAGGATACATTTAGCACAAGAAAAAAAGACAACAAAAGCAGCAAGATTCATGGTCCCAGTTCTAAAGAAGGGAAAAAGAAGAAGATCCAAAGCTTTCTCCAACCTACTTTAGTAACACAGACTATGAAATGAGCATTCCACTGGATGCAAACCAAATTTAACAAGACCGAAAAGTGCAACTTCTTAAAAGCCAAAAACCCAGAAGTGTCATGCAACATAATGCAAGAGTTATTAGAAGAATCAGTGGGAAATGCTCACCTGAAATGTAATCTAATTTATCCTTCAAAGACAGCAGGAGAAAGACCTGGGGGAGGGGGGCAAAGGGAGAAACAAACTAATAGGAAAAACAAGAGTTACAGCACCATATACAGCTTTCCTGCTCATGGGGGAATCCCCATCCGCACGTTAAAGATACCAGCCCTCATTTTGCAACTGCTTGTACACTGAGGTAATCAGCAAATGGATCACTGAAGAAAAAAAGGAATTCTGTATACAGAAAGGGCAAGAAAATCAGAACTGATGGGTCATGCAACTGGATTACATCTTACAGCAAGCCTGCAGACCAAAACAAAAACTCTGGGCAGGTGTCCTCTGATGAAGTGGGGAGCGGCTGAGCTGAGCTTTGCACTGTTATGAAAACAATTTCAACTATGAACTGCTAGAGCAGACTATCAGTTAAACGACTAACTGAATCAGCATAGTCATAACCTGAAACAGCAATCACTTTTGTCAGATTCATACCACGTTTTAAAACAAAAATATTGCACAACTTCTAGTTCCACTATCAGAATGTACTTGACAAGTGAAATTTAAGCTTATTTTAAACAGCCTTGTATACAGAGGATAAACCATACATCTGGCAAAAGGTTCTTTCAGGTTCTGTGCATGCTAGATCATCATCTCAGAAGGGTTCACTGAACTCCATTCATTTGATGGAATCACAAGTTGTAAGGCTTGGTTATGACTCTGCAACTTGAAGGTCTTTGCAATAAATTAAAAGATCAGAGAAGTCTTTAAATGAAGACTTGTTCAAGGAAGAAAATATAACTATTTTGAAGAGCTTTAAACACATCATCCATCTTGGCTATAAGCAGGTTTAACATCTTCCTATCACTTAGGAAAGAAAGGTGCCTCAAAACTAGGCTCTCTTATCTAGCAATCATCCTTGCAAGCAAAGGACAAACATCAGCTCCTCTCATCAGCACTTCTGAATGCTAGGTGAAAAATCTTCTCACAACGTCCTCCTCAATATCCCTTATCATCATCACAGTAGATAAACTAGAATTAGGAAGATGCAATTGTTACTACTCCAAGTCTTATGATGATGATTTTGCAAGGCCAGATCTCTCACTCCACAGCACTGCACACCCTGATTCTCTGTATTACCCTGTCTACACTACAGACTCAGCAACCTCATGAGACAAATGTTGCCATTCTTCCCCTGATCCCCCTAGCTCTGCTCCTCATTTTCTCTAATACTGAGATCTGTGCAGGCCTTCACCAAGGTAAAGCTTTTTCTCCTGGCATCTCAACTGCCCTATGGAGCAGAGCAGGCACACAGCACCCTCCTCCCCAGTTACAGGCACCGACACTCTTATGGGGCAAAGCCAATTGTGAATTCCCCTCCATCCCGTGTACCCACCTGCAAGGCACCTCCCCTCTGGCTGCAAAGAGAAGGATGGATTTTTTCCATCTTCAAAGTCTCAAAACAACCACGGAACTCCTACTCATTCCACCTGCTTATCTCTTGGTATTTCTGCCTCTACACCTCTAGTGTCCTCTCTGGCACTATCTCCTTTCTGACAGGTGCAACACTGATACTTGTATCAGTTCTGAAAGCTATGAGAGAAAAACAATCAATACTCTTAATTCCATGTTGCTGCTCATTTTCCACTGCACCAAAACAAAAAAGGTTATTCAACTGCAGACTCCAGGAAGAACAGACTGCACTTGCCTGCATTAGGTCAATTTTTAGAGTGCATTTCCAGCTGCAGGGTGACAGCTTCTATGAACTCATCTCATTACACCTAGAGGGGCATATTTTTTCCTACTCCTCCACCCCTCACATATTCTGTGTGTGCAAACCTCTCAGCTACTTTAATTACACAAAGTCCTCTAAACTCACCCTGAAGTTGTAATTGTAGGCTGACTAAAATTTTCACTCTTCTTCCATCCTACCCTTCGCTAACCCTCCCTGCCTTTTCTACAGCACCGAAGTATAATATTTTTTGCCCCAAAACAAGATCAGAATCACCTTCCTCTTACACGGCTTTTGCTTTTCCTCCCTCTTTCATATCAGTTTCTCAAATTCATTCATTATATGCTGTAACCACAGTCCCTATGGTATCTCCTTCCAGTCTATGCCACAGTTTCAGTATTCCCAAGCACAAGCCCTGCATATTCTACCCTCCCACCCTAATATGTCATTCCTAGTTTTCCTCTGTGCTTAGGATTCTACATGCCTGCCCCCCAGCCATTCTTTTCTCCCTGCATCACAACTGCATTTCTCCCTTCCTCTCCGAAAAGTAAATTATTCACAGGATTAACAGCACAAACCTGTTCTTTAATCTACAGTCAAATACTGAACCACTTTTAAAAGGCTGGCTGCTCTTGGCAGAAGACACAGTGCATCCTTCACTTCCTTACAGCCTTCTCTGCAAAAATATAGTCTAATGAACATAAAGTTCTTAATTTATGAGAAACTATGCCACAAAATTTTAGGTATAGAAACTACTTCCTCTAAGCAGAAGTCTGGAGACTCAGATGCCAAACGCTGTTGAAAATTTATGTGTTGCATTAGGTAGGTTTTCACAAAATAAACGAGAGGTAAAAAGATCTGCTCTGAGTAATCAGCAACTAAAAAGTCAAGAACCTGTGTCTGTCAGCATTTAAGTTCCAAGAAAATACCCTTTCCAGATACAAGGTGCAGAATCTCCTCTTTAAAGACAAATCACAACAATTATTCAGTTGACACCATCACTGTCGATTTCTTTTACCAATGTGAAAAAACACTTCATTATTATACATTGTTACATACTGTCATTGTAATATGGTTCCCAGAGACTTATTAACATGACTGTGTAACACTGGTAGGACACTGTGGCAATCTTATTGAATATGGTTATTAATTACACAGTTTTACTAGAAGGATATTGGGTCAGCTTCTTAGCAGCTATCCTTGAAGACGAGAAGGCTTCACTAACATAATTTCTGAGCGTCATTTCTTAAGACTTTTTCCAAGTCCCCTTTTAACAGGAACAAGGAAAAATGCACTAAAATGGAATACTTGAAAGCACTGAAATGAGATAGTTAAAAACCACTTGTATACCACCAATCCAAATAATCTAAAAAAACCCAAAAACTAAAAGGTAAGTAAATCATACACCAAGATGTTCATGGAAATTAGTGGAAAATGCAGTAAGGCAGCCAGATAATATAATCAATAGACAAAAAGGCATATTGCTATTAATAAGATTTCTCTGCATGCTTGTCTGATCCTACAAACACAGGCCACAATCAAAATAACCTAAGTCTACACAACAGCTACAATCTATCTTTCCTTTGAAAGAAAGGAAACTTGCTTAAACTAGGTAATGGAGCACACGTTTCAAATTCTTCATATTTCAAAGTAAATGTAAAAGCATCAACATCTGGTTTAAGGTCACTGGAGACTGGGAAAGGACACACTGGAAATAAAAGCATGTATTCTTGCACTGTCGTCATATATTCATGCATTGTCTTTTACTTCCCAAGATTTATTGTTGATCACAGTCAGCAGGAATCCGAGCAAGAATCTGGCCCAACATCTTGTCCTACCTCATATGGCCATTTTTGTCCAGCACTACTAATGAACTAACCCAGCACTCCTCCCCTTCTCCTGAAGGCCTCGAGCATTTCTTGGAAGATGTGATCTTCAGGAAATAAAGTAAACCCGAAACAGCAACTAAATGAGAATTCAGAAGTCCAAGTATTTGAATTTTAACAACATGTTCTCTAGTACTCAATGACTTACCCTGTAAAAATTAACAGACTAATAAACGAGATCATTCAGGATTTAATTTTAAATTGGGGTGGGTTTTTTTGAAACGTGTTTTTTCCCCAATTCAGTTTTGTTCGCAGATCTCTAATAAATTACTCAGCACCCTTATTTCCCTAATAGGTAAGAAAACCTAAGGCCTCTGGCAGCTTCTGGCTGACGCCATCGCTAATTCCACACCCCCTTTTTTTGACAGGATTGACGGCACTGTGAGCCGCCGCTGCCTTCCCACGAACTTACACAACGCCGGCGGTGTGTGACCGGGTCCTGCACTGCCCGCAGCCCCCAGCCCGGCACCACAGCCCCCTCCTGCTCCCGCCGGGCACCTCCGCCGAGCCCCCCCCGCTCTTCCTGCCCCTTCCAGCGCTGCCTCCCCGCCCCGGGCCGCCCGCGTTGCCCCGCGCTCACCTTTCGGGAACAGCAGCTTCACCTCCCCGTTCTCCTCCCGGCTCAGGCCCCCGCCGCCATCTCCCGCCGCTGCCGCCACCACGGGCAGCGCCCCGTGCTTCCTCCTCTCCTTGTCCCGTTTTTCCTTGGGCCTCTTGGGCTTGGCGCTCCCGCCACTCCCGCCGCCCCCCGGCTCTGCCGCCAGCGCCAGGCGGTGCCGGTGGTGGCGGTGCTGGTGCTGCGGGTGGGACGAGGAGGGGGAGGCGGACGGCGGCAGCAGCACCGCGGGCGGCAGCAGCTTCCGGGGCAGCGGGGCAGGGAAGGCGAAGCCCCCCGCGCCCGCCGAGGGGCCCGAGGGCAGCGCGGCGAAGCCCCAGGGCGCGGGGCCGCCGTAGCTCGGCACGACCGCGGGCAGCGGCTGCTTGGCGCTCCCGCCGCCACCGCCGCCCCCTTCGCCGTTGACGCGCTTCGCGCCCTTCAGGCTCCGCTCCTCGGCTCCCTTCACCTTCTTGGCGGCCGGCTGGGACCCGCGGGAACCCTTCGCGTCCGGGGCCGCCCTGGCGCCGAGCGGCTCCTGCTCGGGGGGCGCCGCGCCACGACCGGGACTAGGCGGCTCCGCCATCTTGGGCTCCGGCGTCTATTTACTCTCGGCTCGCCCCAACCGACAGCGCCGGGGGGGCGGGGCGGCTACCTAACCTCGACCAATGGGCAGGGGAGGCGCCGGAGTGACAGTGAGAAGGACCAATCGCAGGGCGGAGAGGGGGGCGGGTCCTGAGGGGATTGGGGGCGGCGGGCTCGGCTGAGTGCGCAGGGAGCGCGAGGGGGGCTGACGGGGCGGGAGGGATGAGGGGTCGGGGACGCGGAGGGGACAGCAGCGCGGGGAGCGAGGAGCTCCCGAGAAAGCCGTTTGTTTGGGAATAAGGAAGGTTTGAATTAATGCCCACCCCGGAGGTTTCGTTAATACCTCAGGTTTTGGGCTTCCCCTGCTGTGGGGACCGCTGACAGGGATGCCGGCAGCCCCCCGGGTTGCTCCTGAGAAAGGCACTTGTTTGGGATGTAGGGAAGGTTTGGACTAGCGGCGGTCCCGGCGGATGCATGATAGCGTCCCGGGAGGCGGTGCAGCTGGTCCCCCGGGATGTCCCGGAGCCGGGAGGGTTGTTCCATCCAGCGCTGACTCCCAGCGGCGTTCCTGGCTGAGCCCGGGCTGTCCGCGCTCTCCTGTGTCCTCGGGGGGAGGCAGATAAAGCCTGGAGGCCCTCGAGGGCCCGATGGGAGGAAGGCAGTTGCTGCCGAGGTCAGCGGCTGTCCGGGATGCCGTGGCCATCCCGCCGGGATAGGCGGGATGTATCACCGGCGGGGTCACCGGCCGCGGGGCCTCGGGAAAGGGATGGAGCTTATTGTCCCAAACAGGAGCCCCCGAGCCGTGCCTTTGGCACCCACAGCCGCCACAGCCGCGGTTCGGGTGCGGACCGAAATGCCCCCGAGTCCTCGTGTCAGCAGGAAGCGCCACGGAAATAAACAGAAGGTTCCTGGAGCGCTGGCGTTGCCGGGCTCCTGCTCTGGTCGGTCACTCCTGAGGGGCTCCTCGTTGCGGTGGGAAGAACAGCGGCGCTGCCACATTAGGCTGTACCTGGCAGACTGCAGCCGGATCAAATTGCTCTGTGCAGTTGTGTACGTGATGTATCAGCAGACAAACAAGCTTTTAAGATTGGATTTTTTTTCTTCACAATCCATTTTCATTTGAGCTGACACTGATCAGCCTCAGAATAAGCTCCTAGTGCTTGGTCTATCCCCTCCTGTGTTTCATTTTCTTTGGAAATTGTAAACCAGGTTGAGTGCTGTTCAATGTTCATCTCAGCAGCAGTGAAGAATAAATTTTCTATATCCAAACAACTCTGCTTTTTCCTCAGATGATTCAAGTTTCACTACTGTGAGAGTGTTACTTGAAACTGTATTTCTGGGCATGATGGGGAAAATGGCATGTGTCAAAGCACAGGAAGAACATTTCACTGCACATATTCAAGCAGGAGTAAACTCACATCCAATCCCAGATTGAAATCCAGGTGCAAATCTGTCCCTACCTGTGTAGACTGGTAAAATATAATAGACCTGTGAGTATGAAGGTCAGCTTCCTCAGAAATGTTTTATTTGTATCAGTAGGTGAGAAAAACCTGTGCATTTTAATAGACGTGTCCCTTTTCCATGTTAAGTAAAGGTGACCCATCCACCTTAGTCAAAATCAGTGATTTTGTCTCAGTTGATGTTACAGCTGCCATGTCATGCATACAAGCCTGTTGGTATCCCTATATACCAGTCCCTCATGGACACTGGATTGTGGTGACTGTAGAGTGAAGATTTGAGGCACCTCATGGCACTGTCTCAACTTCACTTGAACAACCAAGTTCGTCTTCTATGCTGGTATTGATATCAAATCAACAATATACTAAGTTCATTCAATAAACTTCAGATAAGCCACAACCATATATTAACCTCTCACTTTCAGGGGCTTTGAAAAACAGAAGAGCAGCACTTCTTTTATTTTTAACTAGATTAAATCCATACACTTGCTTTCAATTCAAGGAACTTAATCATAACCTCTGTGAAATGCCAAGAGAACAACCTAAGAGAACGACACCAGTTTTCTCCATGCAGCAGGCTCAGGAAGATTTAATAGGCTAATGAGGCTAGATAGCTGTATAAATAGTTGAATATCTTGATATGTGCACTTATATCAATGTTAATAATGAAGACAAATCTTCGTATTTCTGAACTTCTTAGTCAGACTGCTGGATGTATAAAAATTGCATTGAATTATAATGCAACAAATAAATATGAAAATAAATACAAACAAAACTGGTGGAAGGAGAAGTCATAACCCTACACTAGATGTAAAAACTGACAAGTAACCTAATAAATGTGCAGCAAACTTTAACAGCTGACAATATGCTACTAAACTTAGGTCAAGCTGAAGTTTTCCTTTGCTTTTTGAAGTGGTATAGTGTGCTTGGAAGCATAAGCCAAGTTTTCGTTAGCGAATTCTTTATAAAATTCAACTGGAGCAAGATGACAGAGTACCTATTACATGTAATTGCTGCTTGTTGGAAAGCAGCATGACTAATGTTTGGAGGTGTTGCTGCTGCTATCTCATACCCATTTGTCACCAGGAGAAGTTACAGGGTGTTGGAAATCCAGGAGCCCTCTCTGTGTGTGCAGCAGCAGGACTGCTGCACACAGGCAGCCTGGAGGGCATGCCGGAGGAGAGAGGAGTGGGTGTTGTCCCTGTCACTTGTTTTGTCACCAATCACTCAGATGCCTTAAAGTGCTCCACCATACCTGTGGTGTGCACGCATTCCAAAATATTAAAATTAAATTTCAGGGCGCCTTCTGTACCACTTCTTTTTACTTTAATTAAACCTCTGCCCACTGGTGCGTATACTACAGGCAGACACTCCTGAATGAGACACAGACAAGATGAGAAACACCAAAACTCCTTCAGAGTAGAGTGTCTTTGAAAAATAGGGGTAAATACAAGTAGTACACCTTGTGTAAAATACAGGTTAGATTCACAGATTTGTTCTGTTAACTTAGTTTAACAGTGTTCGTTCACTCTGTGAAAAGAGTGGAACCTATATGCTTAAAATGAAATTATACAATTCTGAGAAACACTGTCCAAACATTGCCCCGTCAAAAGAAACTACTACAGAGAAATACAGTAGTGTCTCATGTCACAGCTCCAGTGCCTTTCAGCCACTGCAGGGAGATGTGTGAACTGGCAGAGCCTCTCTGGGGATCCATCCTTGTTGGAGTGATGGCATCACAGTGCAGAGTCCCCAGACACAGAGACCAGGGAGCTTATCTATTTTAGCAGAAGCCTTTAAACTGCTTATGGAAACGATATCATTGTGCTTTTGTCTATAATTTTACATGCACTTAGGGAAATCCATGAAGATTTTCTAGACATGAAAACCTAAACCAGGCAAAACTGTAAAAATGCCAGGCACAAGGCAGTCCAATATCCAACATACATTAAGGATAAGCTTCCCAGATTATTAGCCTGTTTATTGCAAATGTGTTGTCATTTTCTAGAATAATTATGAAATGCTGATATAAATGGTTATTAATCAAAACATTTATTTAAATACCTATCTTGTTTCAGTAACTAAGGAAGCTAAACAAGTTAGTGTGTATGCTCACCTAAACCTAGTTTAATTTCAGACATCTATAAAATAAAAAGCTGAGTGTAAGTGCTGTACAGAGGCTGAGTTACAGTGTTTTGTCTTTATGCTCAGCTGCCTACCAAAGTGATGCTCTGTAACCTTACTCAGGTCTTCAAATAGAAAAACAGTTTTCAGAGATGTTATTTAATCTCTTTATAGTTCCAAGAGTTTGCTCTCCATGTGCTTACTTCCTTGGTTTGGCATCTGCTCAGTTCCCAAGTAAAGCATGGAAATAATTGTGCCAAGTGTAAATTGAAAACATTTGATAACACTTAGACATCCTTATGCTGGTTTTTGTCTGCAAAATTAGCTAAATGTAATTTTTAACGCTATTCATATTTTCTTGCAACTCATTAGAAGTCAGTTAGTTCACCTTTGGAAATGGAGGTGAAAACTAGCCTTATGTGCACAGAAATGTACCAACAAAGGTGGTTTCATCATGCGAAAGTGTGATTTATTTTAGAAGAGCCTCATTTTCCGTAGTCAAAGTTTTCATAACAAATAATGACATATCCAAATCCTTCTGCAATTACCACTCAAACAATAGAACTAAATGAGGGAGTGGGGACTAACTTGGCTCATAACTGGGAGCTGCTGACAGCGTGACAAGCCTTGCTGCAGGGGGGTAGAATTGCTTCCTCCTGCTGTTGTCCTTTACAAGGGACAGTATCCCCTCGCCTAAGGAATGGGAATGGGAACGTGCAGCCCAGCATCTTTTTATTAAAGAGGTGACAAATGTGGCATTTATCCTAAAAAGCCTTTTCTTTTTTCCTCAGAAACAGTGGATGTCTCTTCACTGACTGCTGAGGGGTAGTGGGTTAGACATTGGCAGAGGGGCAGAGCAGACAACTGGGGACAGTCATGTTTTTTATTATGCTGTTCATCTGCCAACACTATATAGAATCCATAAAAACCACAAAAGGGAGTTTGCACTTCAGAGAGGATCTACAGTACTTATTTCTTGGTTAATGTTTTTTTTCAAACAGCTACATATTACTGTTTTAACAGCTCTTCAGATTTTACAACTATTTTTCTCACTTATGTTTAACATATGAAATACCCCAGCTCCTGTATTTCTTTTTTTTTGAAGTGTAATATCAATCACAGCAATAGAGCAAACTTGGAAGGTCTTGATATATACACTTCAAATGATATCTTCTTGCAGTTGAAAAGATAATTTGCTTTGCTGTTGTCTTCATAGCATCCAAAAAAATTTAGACTATTTGAAAGGTCTTTTGGATTTTTCAATACAGAAGGAACATAATGACTAAAACAAGTATGGAAGCAAGAGGATGTAAATTAAGCAAAACTATATTTCTTTGCACATGGAGGGGAGGAGGAGGATAAAAGTCTTACCCATTTCCTTATTTCAGTAACTATTAATTAAAGTATTAATTTTCTTCAAATGAAGCAGCTGGTTTGTGAGAC